AAGTGGTTCAAAACCCAACCTCGACTCTCCGACAAGCTAGTTAGGTGGTCCGCTTTTATTGACACATTTGACTTTGAATTGAAAATCATCAAAGGAAAGTTCAATATTGTCGCGGATGCTTTGTCCAGGCGTGCTGATTTCTTTGGAACAATTGTCTCCTATCTTGATATCGGGAATGATTTGAAAGACCAAATCCACAAGGGTTACGTAGATGATCCAATATGGAGTCCTATCATTGGGACACTACAAAGAAACCCTGAAATCTTTCCTGAATATTGAATGACACCCTGAAATCCGGCAAGTACATTTTGTTTCATCACCTCTCGCTCCAAAGAGAGGAAATGACTGCACAGGTAAAGGGAACCTATGCAAACATTGTATGGAATGGTCCGTTAGGTGGGTATGGGAAATGTGTCCTGTGCTAATTTCTTTGGAACAATTGTCTCCTATCTTGATACTGGGAATGATTTGAAATACCAAATCCACAAGGGTTACATAGATCATCCGATATGGAGTCCAACCATTCGCACCCTACAAAGAAACCCTGAAATCTTCCCTGAATATCAGCTGAGTATCAGGTGACTGATGGCTTACTCTTCTTTGTTGATAAGACTGAAGAAACACTTTGCATTCTACATAAAGAACCAATCAAGAGTCCGATTACTAGGGACTGCCATGACACTGAAGGACACTTCGGTTTCAAGAAGACGTATGCAAATGTAAGAGAACACTTTGAATGGAAAGGAATTAACGAGGATGTAGTAACCTATGTGCGAACAAATCTCGTTTGTCAAAGGAACAAGCCATCACATAAGAATCCATTGGGACAATCGCAACCACTACCAATTCCAAATGAGCCAAGTGAGTCTATCTCGATCGGCTTCATGAACCTCACCAACGGTCGGAATGGTAATATTCAGGTAATGGTCATTGTGGATCGATTCTTAAAGTATGCTATGTTCATTCCCTTGCCTATCGAAGCTAAGACATAACTTGTCATCCAGAAGTTCAAGATGCGATGGGTTTTGGAATATGGATTTTCAAAAACCATCATCTCTGATAAGGATGTAAGGATCACTGGTCTACAATAGCAAAAGTTGATGGAAGCCTATGGCACTAAGTTGACCATGTCATCAGGTAGACAACCCTGAAACAAATGGCCAAGCTGAACAAATGAAACGTTTGTGCAACAACTTTTGTGCATGTATATACGACCGGATCAGATAGATTGGAATGAGAACTTACCTAAGATCGCAAGTGTGTATAACAACAGTATACATATTGTTACAGGGAGAACACCAAATGCACTGCACAAAGGTTGAAAGCCTCGAAGTCCCATTGATGCTCTAACCCGGGACCAGATTGAAAGGCTACCCCCAAGTACTCGAGAATTTGCAGCTTTATACGAAGAAAACATAAAAAAAGTCAAGGAAAACATACAAAAAGCCCAATTACAAATGATTGAAAAAGAAGGTGATCTTGTATAGGTTAAGTCTAAAGAATGTTCCTTGGAACAAAATGTGTCTCAGAAATTGTTGCCTGTCTACTACGGACCCGGAGAAGTTTTCTCAAGGAGATTGGGGATGCAGATGGACCCTCATATAGAATTGATAAACCCCCACACCTCAAGACCTATCCTATATTTCACGCGTCTAAACTTCTGCCATATGTAGAGGGACACAACTTTCCCAACAGGCCATTTATGTTTCCTCCTTCAGTGGATGGTGGCTACGAAGTTGAGAAGATCTTGGAAGATGGAAACTTCTCTACAGGTGGCAGAGGAAGACAGCAGAAGCAGTTCAAGGTAAAGTTCAAGTCTCAACCTCCGTTTGAAGATATATGGTTTAGCAAGAAAGAACTATTACCTACTTCTCCTGACATTATATCTACATACGAGGGTGGTTTAAAAGAAAGTTAATGTATTTCTGCGATGGAACTTTGCAATTACCCGCTCCAGTATGCCTTGTTGTTGTCTAGGAAGCTGCCCGCAGGCCCCAACATCAGTCTAAGGCCGCGTTGACCAAAGGGTCCAGAAACCCTGAAATTGACTTTAGAGGCCCTACACCCGTCAGTTGACTACAGTCAGTTGCTCAGCGGTTCACGAATCAAAGTCTGCATGGACCCAGCCCAGGCCACTGGTCAAACACACACGCTTGGTTGTACGCAGGTATCCAGGCAACATTCGAACCAAGTGGAAGTATGTCACTGTACGAGATCCAGGCCCTCGGCTGTGCGTCAATCTGAGCCTCCGTGGGTGAGGGACCAGAGGCAGGTCAACCTCGTCAACACTATTTTTGGCCCTGACTCCGGGAGTCAACATTCAGTCTTGCCGTGCTGACTTGACGCTGGCGTTGTGCGACGACGACGCAAGACTGCTGTATTGCATGTCTGGCGCCCCCCTGCTCTGGCGCCAGCTGTCTTCTTGCTTGCTGACGTGGCGCATGCCACATTGTCTTCAACATTGCTGATGTGGCGCATGCCACCCTGTCTACACTGCTGACATGGCATTTACCACTCTGTCCTCGTTGCTGATTGGGATGCGACAAGGAGGGAGATCGGGATCTGTGGATTGATTGAGTGAGAGAGAGAGAGGAGACTTACCTGTTGCTGATGTCGACATTGCGTGCTGCTGTGATGACTTAATGGGAGAACTGTGCCTGCGTGGCATTTCATTGTGATCAGATCTTGTCAGGCTCGTTTCTGCACACCGTTTTGACGAGGAGGAGAGGAGAGGCCCGAAAGAAGGAGAGGGGAATGAGGGGCTTCTATCTATGTGGGCATTCGTGGATACTTTCTCTTCCACCCTCTTAAGTCTATTCCCCCCCTCTCCTGAGAGAGAGGAGACTTCCCTTTTGCTGATGTCGTGTTGTGATGACTTCATGGGAGAAGTGTGCCTGCGTGGCATTTCATTGTGATCATATCTTGTCAAGCTCCTTCCTGGAAACTGTTGGCTGACGAGGAGGAGAGGAGAGGCCCGAAGAAGGAGAGGGGAATGAGGGGCTTCTATCTATGTGGGCTTTCGTGGATACTCTCTTCCACCTCTTAAGTCTATTCCCCCCCCCTCCTTCTTCGTCCTCTGGGACATTGTATCACGGATCACTTTTCATGATTATTGGAGACGTTGCAGCGCTGAGTTATCTTGCATTTCGACACTTGACGAGTTTCCTCCAGACAGGGTTCGTTACAGTTCAGTTTATTTTTCTGCATAACATAGTTTTTTTTCCAGAACTTTTTTTTTTTTTTT